GAGGAATGATGGTTGGGGGGCCTCCTCTCAATTGTCTAGAGGGTTTAGCATATGCGACGCATTCGCTCTCGAGTCATAGTCTTTAGTGCAACATGAGTTTCAAACCATAACTTAATCCACTTCTTGTATTAAAAAACACAAAACAAAAACATCAAATCTTTTTTATCCATCGGGATCTTAATTGGAAAACCATTTTCAGAAAGAGTTTTGCTAAACTTTGATTCTACCGCAAACAGGCGTCGTCCCTAACTGATGGAATCACTGTTTAACCCTACTCGGTTTAAAACACTTGAACTAATTTGTGGTCGTGTTAGCCCGAACTACGTTTGCTCTGATTTCTCGTACCAGATGAGGAAACCTAGGCACAAGACGCGATGTCTTGGCGAGCAACCTCCCCCCACTTTCACCCGTAGTTAGCCGAACTACGTTGACTCTGACTTCTCATTTCATATGAGATACGTAGGCACAAAGCGTCGTTGCTTTGTCGAGTTACTTTCTTCTTCTTTTATCCTCAAGCCTGTAGTTAGATAGATTTACACCCTTTTAAAATAGACAATAAGCGTGGATCCCGTCGAGTACGACGGACGTGAGGGGTGCTAACACGTTCCCCTTGCGTAACCGACTCCCGAACCCAAGATTTGGTTGCGACGACCGATCTTATCCCTCTTTTCGTTGGGTTTTCTCTGAGCGTTTCCTCTCCCTCTCTTAGGATAAATAACGCACGGTGTCGACTCTTCTGTCATTGCCGGCCCCTTTTCGCAGTTATGCGACAGTTATGTTTAAGAATAATATTAAGTTAGTTAATACTTGTAATTAATGTTTTATCAATATTTCTGAAATTGGTTGATATATTAAAATCATATTTGTAATTAAAAAGGAAATGATTTTATAAATGTGTAGTATGGAATATTATCGGTACTATCGTAGTTGGATGTACGATAGGTTGTATCCAAGAAGACGTGGACGTAAACCAAAATTTGAGGAAGGAGTTAAAGGGTTTATCACGTGGTCATTTGCTCAGAAATGTTGTTAAAGCGAAGGAGGAGTTAGATATCCATGTCTTAAATGTGAATGTTGTCACACCCTCATTTTCACCTTTAGCCTTTTATACCCTACATTCGTCATATCATACATCGTTCTATTGCATATCGAGCATGTGGGTTCACGAGGTAAGGATTGGGTCGGTTCTTTGTTTTCCATTCCAAATAAGATTATTTTCCTATCATTGGACTACATGGAAGAGGAGGTACATCATCAAAGATACTCCATTGGGTCAAGTATGAATCCAATTTGAGGTGGCTACCAAGAGAATTGAGACAGTGCAGAGCAAGAACCCTAATTAGGGTTTCTTGATTAAAAAGTCAACCGCAACTTTGACTTTTGACCTAAAAGGTGTTACAAAGCTTGAATCATGGTTCATAGAGTTAATATGGCTTAATGAAGTCCACTCAAGAAGTTTCAAGACTTCAGGAGACCCAGAACAACATCAGTCGATCCGATAGTTATCGATCGATCGTTTCGTTGACCAAAAAGTCAACTCTTCAACCATAAGGAATTTGACCTCAAGGTGTGAAGCAAAAAAGTTACTAATAACATATTACACCTTTCCATGAAGTTTCATGACCATTGGATCAAGGATTGAGGAGTAATCAAAAAAGTCGAGAATTAGGGTTTTGAAAAGGGTAAGACCATAACTTCCTAACCACACATCCAATTGAGGTGGTTCAAAGCTTATTGGAAGGTACTTTACAAGTCCTACAAAAGTCTTACAGTGGTCCATGTACAAAAAATGCATAGATTTGGAGTTATGGTCAAAATCATCACAAGAGGGAGAAAACACTTAGAAAAATTCTAAGTTTTTGGTCTTGTTAGGCATGTTTCAGCCAACTTTGAGAGGATTTTTGACCTAGTTCCATTTGGAATCTGAAGATCATGCAAACATGAAAGTTGTAGAGCTCCATTAGGGCTTTCTAAAAAGTACTAGAACTCCTCCATAGCCCTTGTGAGTTGAGAGTTATGAATCCAACAAGTTGGAGTTTCAACACTTGAATGCACCATTTTAACTTTTTCCACAAATTCACTTTTCAGCCACTTGAATCATTATCAACCATTGGATCATGTCTTGATATGATATTAGGGAAGGATGATGGTTAGAAAATGCAGAAAGCATGAGGTTTTGAGAGCTTTGCAAGTTGGCAAGCAAGTTGACAATATAATATTCATTGAAATCCAAGAAGAAAGAGAAACTTTTTGAAGAAAATCTGGAGCAGCAGGGCCCCTACTCTATTGGTACACCTTAGTCACTTCCTATGGCTTGCATACAGTCAGATTTATGCATCACAAGGCATCAAGGAACTGATGTGTGCAGCTGTACCAAATCTTGGATGGATTTTCTTCAAAAAAATCTCCCTCCAAGGCCAAGACTTCAAATCTTCCCCAATACCTCTCTTGGCCTATAAATAGAGGCTTCATGCCATTGTAAACAACACATCAGATCTATTCAAGAAAACCATAAACTCATAGCTCTCTTCTTTCCCTCCTTACTTGTAAGTGAAGAGATTTCACAAAAACACCAAAATCCACCACTTTACACTTTTCACACCAGTCCTTGTTCCAAACACTAAACCACCATAAAAACCATATGCACACCCTTAAAATGACCACTTGAAGCTAATCCCACCATTAGTTTCACCCAAAAATCCTTGAATCAAAAAGTCAACTTTCACACCACTTAAGTTTGACTTTTATGCATATTATGGACCAAATCTCTACCTAGATCCATTTCCACTACTTTAACACTCAAAACACCTCATATTTATGATATACCATCTGTTCATAATCTCAAATCACAGCTGGAAGTACAATTGCCCCAACTGTCCACAAAGTTGCCTTTTCTTCAAAAAGAGGTAACAATCTCAAAGCTTGCATATAAGGTTAAAAACCAAATTCTGCATTTTCATGTGCATCATTTTAAAAAACTGGTAGTACCATCATGTTCCTCTTGAAAAAACAAGTGAGTTTGACTTAAATTTCACAAAAATTGGTTAAAAATGGGAAGAGTTATGATGAATTCATTTCCATTATTTTTCACTTGATTTTGCCATAAGGTTAAAAAACACATTCTGCATTTTCCTTTGAATTTTAATGTGTGCGCATCATTTTGAAAAACTGGTAGTACCATCATGTTCCTCTTGAAAAAACAAGTGAGTTTGACTTAAATTTCACGAAAATTGGTTAAAAATTGGAAGAGTTATGATGAATTCATTTCCATTATTTTTCACTTGATTTTGCATTAAGGTTAAAAAACACATTCTGCATTTTCATTCTAATTTTAATGTGTGTGCATCATTTTTAAAAAATAATGGTACCATCATGTTCCTCTTGAAAAAACAAGCAAGTTTGACTTAAATTTCATCAAAATTGATCAAGATTTGAAGAAGTTATGATGAAATCACTTTCATGAGGCCAATGCATTTTAAACAAAAACCACATTCTGCATTTTTCGTCTAATTTTAATACGTGCGCATCATTTTAAAAAATTAATGGTACCATCATGTTCCTCTCGAAAAAACAAGCAAGTTCGACTTAAATTTCATGAAAATCGATCAAGAATTGAGTAAGTTAGGATGAAAACGTATTTTGAGTTATCACTTAGTTTTGGCCTCAAGCTTGCCCAGAATTTCACTTAGTTTAGGTATTTAATTTAAAGGGGTGGCTTGATACAATGGATGTATCGCCACCCCAGTGGTTGTCATCTTGCTCTTAAGTATTGTCATGCATATGGTATGTGGTTCGATCCTCAGTTAGGACATTTTTTGCCTTTTCAGCGTCTTTTTCATGTTTTATTATTTTTACCTCTCTTTCACTCCTAGTTCATACGTGCATGACTGGTTGAGTTGGCTAAATTTTGAGTCTACTACCTTGAGGTCTTGGGTTCAAGCCTTGGGGGAGGCCTTTCTTATTTTTTTAATTTTGGATTTATTTGATTTTTACTTAATTGTCATTAAATTTCAAAAACTCATAACTTCTTCATTTTTAATTGATTCTTTTTGGCTAAATTTTTGTATTAATGTATATTTTCATATAATGTTTAAAGAATTCTAAAATTCCTATTTTAGAAACACTTTATATTAAATGAAAATTGTAATTCATTTTAGGGTTTTCACCCTCCTAACTCTCGATTTTATCGAGCCATTTTTAACCTTGTAAGTTGAATGCCTTGTGCGTCGCCATCGACCTTGTTCGCGTCACTTAAAATATTTTTACCAACAATAAAACCCTTGATCCAACATCAAGAGGTACTTTTCCTCATAAAAATCCAAAAATACAATAAATGTGTGATTAGGGTTATACACCATGAACTTTAAGGTGGTGGAGAAGGAATGAGAATGGAACCCTCCTACACTCGTTCCGAATATTTTGAATACAAGGTGCTCGACTTGGTTATTCGAAACATTCCTCTCTATCCAAATTCTTTTTTGTGTAATCCTAGTCAAAAAACAATTTCTCTTAAAAAACCTAAAAATAACATCAACTCATCAAACTTCTTTTCGCCTTAGGGCATCAATCCGAAAACCCTTTTCAAGGTATAAAAACAACTAACAAACAACTATTTCACAAGCCTCCGAACTACGGAGCTCTGATTCTTCACTTCTTTTAAGTGAGCATACATAGGCACAAGGGCCACAATCCTTGGCGAGCACTATAATAAAAAAACCAACCCCTTTCCCCTTTTAAAACAAGCAAACTTTTAGACTAAAAACACCCACTCAAGAAAAACAACCTAGAAGGTTCCCATCGAGTACGATGGATGTGAGGGGTGCTAATACCTTCCTCTCGCATAACCGACTCCCAAACCCTAAGACGTGGTTGCGATGACCATGCTCTTTTCCTAAAGGTTTTATCGCTATTTCCCTTTCCCTCCTTGGGATAAATAAAATCCGGTGGCGACTCTGTGTCATTTTTCGCGTAGCGACAAATGTAGACCTATAATTAGTGGGATGATTGAAAAGTATTGGGTTTGGACATATAATGGAGAAGAATTGTCGAGTAACGTACCAGAGACCAGTAATATGCATGCTTCAAGTAGTCGATCACCGATGGAACATGGGGAAAACTTTAATATGATCAGTGAGATGATGGGTGATAATTTTGGTGTGAACTTGACCTGTGATAAACTTGCAGATTTTGATGGGGAAGAGTTGTCGAATGAGGAAGCGTAAATATTTTATCAGTTGTTGAATGAGATGAATACGACGTTGTTTGAGGGGTCATGAAACTCAAAATTATCAATGTGTGTGAGATTATTAGCCACAAAGTCAAATTGGGATGTTCCTGATCAGCGTTTGGAATTCTTCGCAAAAATGATGCTCGACGTGACTCCTATGAAAGACAACTTGCCTACAAGTTTTTATGATGCAAAGTAGTGTTGAAGTTGGGTTTAGAAGTAATAAAGATTTTTTGTTGCATTATTGGTTGCATGTTATTTTATGACAATGAGTTTGGTACTAGTGATAGAGCGTTGGATAAATGTAAGTTCAGTAAGAGTCCATTAAATGTAAGCAAAAACGCATAGTAGTGAAGTCCGTGTTTTATCTTCTGATAATACCAAGGTTAAAAAGAATGTTTGCTTTGATGCACAGTGCAAGTCAAATGACATGGCATCATACAAACAAAACAAGATCAGACACTATGCAACATCCATCTAATGGTAAGGCATGGAAGCACTTTGATCAGATACATCCTGATTTTTCTACGGAACCTAGAAATGTCAGGCTTGGATTTTGCTCTGATGGTTTTACTCCATATGTCCAAGCGTCGAGAAGTGGATATTCTTCTTGGCCAGTTATTGTAACCCCTTACAACCTCCCTCTTGAGACGTGCATGACAAAACCATACATGTTTTTGACCTGCCTCATTCTAGGACCTTCGAGTCTAAAAGCTGAAATCGATGTGTACTTACAACTTTTAATTGATGATTTCAAGAAGTTGTGGATTAGAGAACTAAATTATGATATATCCTGTAAACAAAACTTTACTCTGTGAGCTGCCTCGACGTGGACTATTAATAATTTTGCTGCATATGGCATGTTGTCTGGTTGGGGTACGCATGACAAAATGAGATGTCTGCATTGCATGGGAAACACCAAGGTGTTTACATTGTGAAAAGGGGGAAAAGTTTGTGGTTTGACTGTCACCATATATTCCTACCAAGAAATCATTTATATATAAGAAACAAGACTGATTTCAAAAAAAATGAACGAGTAATAAATTTGTCTCCACCTCAATTGTCACCAGGTGAAATATGGAACCAAATTTGTGAACTACCAAAATTCACAGATACTGGTAAAGCATATAGAATTCAAGGATATGGGGTCACACAAAATTGGACAAAAAGAAGTATATTTTGGGACCTCCCATATTGGAAATATAATTTGTTGCGCCATAATCTTGACGTTATATATATTGAGAAGAATTTTTTTGATATTGTATTTAACACAGTGGTGGATGTTAAAGACAAAACAAAAGATAATGAGAAGGCTAGACAAGACATGGAAATTTGGTATAATCGAAAAGAGTTGGAGTTGAAGCTTGAACCAAATGGAAAATTATTAAAACCCAAGGCTAATTGTAGTCTAACTTCCTAAGAAGTTAAAGTGGTTCATCGATGGTTAAAAGAATTAAGCATTCCTGATAGTTACGCTTCAAATTTAGTAAGGTGTTTCGACGCTAACACTAGGAAGTTACATGGTATGAAAAGTCATGATTGCCATGTTTCTATAGAACGATTGATTCCAATTACGTTCGATTCACTACCCAACCATGTGCTTAATGTAATAACTGATATTGGTCAACTTCTTAGAGATATTTGTGCGTCAGCTTTAAGAGTGGATGATATCATTAAGTTGGACCAAAATATTCCAGTTATTCTCTGTAAGTTGGAACAAGTATTTCTGCCTGGTTTTTTTGACTCTATAGAACATCTACTTGTACATCTTTCATATTAAGCTTATCTTGGTGGCCCTGTTCAATATAGGTGGATGTATCTGTTTGAATGGTTCATGAGTGATTCAAAGCGATCGGTGAAAAATAAAACTAAAGTTGAAGGATCAATATGTGCACATTACTTGCTTCGGGAAACATCACATTTTTGCAGTCACTATTTCAATCACTTGATGTTAACTCCAAGAATCATAAGGAATTCCATAAATGTTAATGAAAGAATTCAATTTACCTTATCAATCTTTGGGCTTCCAGGCCTTCCCTCTGGAAAGAAGGGTGTGCATTGGCTGACCCAAAAAGAAATGCAATATGCACATGTTCATGTTCATGTTTTGATTAATTGCGTTGAAGTTAAACCATATTTTGAGGAAGTATACCCCAACTGTTTAATTTTCTTTACAGTGTGAAGAAAAAACTTATTACCTCAAAACTTATAGTGTGTTTCTTTTATGGAATTTAACACCTCTTATTTTCATAGCACCGGTGTACAAGCAAACTCCGATCACATACATGCTCATTTACCAACATGGTTCAAGGAGAAATTGTCATGCATTGTATCACTGGCTCAAGAAATACTCCATTTGAGAAACTTTTTTGAAGGCCCTACTCAAAGTGAAAATGAATGGCACACATACTTCATGAACGTATATAAATTTCACACTGAGACATGGACTGAAGGGAAAAAACCAAAAATAGTGGTGTATTTGTAAAAGGAGTTACAGATGGTGTTGAAGACAACTTATATGGCTTTGTTAAACATATCTACAACTTGGTATAAAATTACTTGGACTCAAGAAATAAATTTGTCTTATTTTATTGTGACTGGTATGATCCATCTGCCATAGGTACAAAAATAGATAAGACATGTGGTACTGTTAAGATTCGAATGGACCAAAGGTACAAAGAGTATAAACCTTTCATAATGTCACATATTGTTAGGCAAGTTTAATATGTTCCTTATCCTTCAATTGCGCCATGTAAACGAGGATGTTGTGTTGTAATTAAAACAAAACCATTGGGTCATATTAAAATTGTCGATCTAGTGGAAGATGTTGCTTACCAAGTTGATGAAGTTGAAAAAATTAATGATGTGATTGCAGTTGAACAAATCACAAGTTTTTCTGATACAATGGTTAAGGGGCATCATGTTTTTGCATCTATATTATTGGTAGAAAATAATGTGGACGAAGAGCATGAAGAGTTTGGGTCTGAGGACAATATCACATCAGATGATGAGAATGATATCGATGAAGAGCATGAAGATTTTGAATAAATTGTTTTTGTAATTTTACTTGTTGAACCATGTATTAAATGTGTTAATGAATATATATATTGATGAGAATGAGTTTTTTAGATTTATTATTTGTGTTGATGAATATATATTAAATGTGTATTCTCTATAAATAGGTAAAATGCCACCCCGATCTGATAAGGGAAATGATAGTGGTAGTGGTAATAAGACCCAACACCCAAGGTTAATAGTATGCCAGGAACCTCAGGTAGATCCTATGTCCATGGCCAGTTCTCAACCTCTTATGACATTACTCTCCCCTAATGAGTATCCAGCTTTTATTAGCCCATCTAGAGGGCCTAATTATCCATACCAGGAGACTGGAGGACCTAGCTATCTATACCAGCAGACTATAGGATCTGGTTATCCATGTCCCTTACAATTATCCTCATCCTTCATGCATTCTAGAGGATCTAGTTTCCCACCTCCCCACAGGTACCCTCATCCTTCATGCAGTCTAAGGGATCCCACACTGTAAATCCCGAACATGTACCTTCATCCTTCATGCAATCTAGGGGATGCCACACCACACATCCCACACAAGTACCATTATCATCTGAATGTGAGAGAAATACACAAGAAGGGGGTTGAATTGTATATGCCAAATCATTTTTACTTATGGACTAGAGTTCAGAATCTAAACAGAAGTTCAAAATCTGATTAACAAGTTGCAGCGGATAAAATAACATAAGAAAATAGATAGGAAAAAAACACACTGAAGTTATCCTGGTTCCTCTCAAACTAAGAGTAATCCCGTCCTCTTGAAGCACAAGAGATTTCCGCTATAATTAAATAGATTACAACTGTTTATATCCTCGAGTATAAGACTTTCTCCTGCTCAGACCTAAAGCCTAAGTCTTGTTTTCTAAGATTCCACGAATCCAAGACTTCCTTGCTTAAACCCCTTAGATTCAAGACTTCCTTGCTTAGACCTATAGTCTAAGACTTCCTTGCTCAGATTCCTCGAATCTAAGACTTCGATGCTCAAGCACACAACAAGAGACTTTATCTAAATTAAATGTTTAGAGAAGGAATAACTTACAACAACACTTGATTAACAATAAGAGGTGTTCAGATATAATATAACACACTTTAACACTAAGATTCTTAAGCTATACAAGAATAAGAACTCTTAAAGGATTAACTTCTCTTGAGCTGATACAAATAGTGTGGGGTGTGTGTATATTCCAGTTGTAGTTGCAATGTTATTCTCTTAATTGTTCTTCTATTCTTATGCTCCTTTTATAGCTGAAGAAATCGAGTCTTTGAAGCAACCTAACGACTATTTTCAAATCAAATCTTTTTGCACATCTAGTTTTCCAATAAAGCAGGTGTTGGAACTCGTAGCCAAGGAATTACCCACTGAACAAGGCCTTTATCCAAAGAACTCTTCTATGCAACTATTACAACACAATCTTTTGGAGATAATGTCAAGTACTCTCAAGTCCCTTGATTTATGAGCTTGAGTTGTCATCCATCAGTTTCAAAGGCATAGTTAGCACGCTTTTGATTCTGAAATATGCAAAAGATATCTTTAGGGTCAGATTCTCGCACAAGAACTTTATCTGAACTGAACCATAGCTTCTTCCGTAACAGAACCTATTCCATCAATTAAATTGGATTCTGTACACATGAACCAACTAGTTAGAAATCCTAATTTCTCTTTAAATACTTTATTATCATCAAAACCTTAGAGGATACATGGTATAAACCAAATTTATCTCAACACCATCCACATATATACATGCACGTGAGGATGATCATGGGGAGCCAGATCAGAAAAATCATGAGGTGCATGATGAGGATGGAGATTACGAAGAGGAACATGACAATCATGAGGAGGCTCATATCATTGATGGAAGATATTATATTTGGCCCAACAGAAATTCGTAAGTTATAAATTTTTAAGTATACATATTAAATTTTTTT